ATGAGTCCTTCAGAACTGTGAGAAATGATTCATTTGGACCCCTACTCTATCCCAATCAGTATTAATCAGTTTGATATATTACATAAATCATATAGCAATAGATAGGTTCTTATAGTGGGCCTCAAATTTTAATGTAATGTTCACTACTTGTTTACCAAGTTATATAAGTTATAACCACGAGAATGCTGACAAACATATCTCCATCTTGTTTTATTCAAATTCCATGTCCAAACCCAGCATGGGTGGATGCCTTGATGCTTTGGAAAGTCCCCCAATTTATTTTTGTACCTCTGGACTTCTCTCTCGTTCAATATGAGCAAGTGACCATCTTATAACCATTTAGTTAGTGAGAGATACCCCATGGTTTACCCAACCTATGATCCCTCTACCCCACTGCTAATATGTCATTTTTGGTTCTCCAGAGCAAGGTTTATCAACAAATAAGATTCTGTATTTTATTATGCCTCTTTTACATATTTGGGTGTCAAATCCTACTAAACCAAGGTCCCGGAAGAAAGGGGCATCTCAGATTGTGAGGAAGGTCTGGGTTCCATTTCATTAGAGGGGAGCATGGATCCTTTAATAAAGTGCCATTGGCTCAGTGCTTTGCCTTAGTCTCTTTTATTGTAGGTTGGACAATTTAATCCCCATACTGTCTTTGATTATTGTATTTCTGAGAATAGCTAAATTATTCACAGTAGATCATCATACAATGTTACATCATACAATCATCATACTCTGTTACTATATACAAATGTTCTCCTGGTTCTGCTCATTTCACTTTGCATCAGTTCATGTCTTTCTAGGTTTTTCTAAGAGCACCCTGCTCATCATTTCTTATAGCACAATAGTATTCCATCACAACTGTACTCAACAACTTGTTCAGCTATAACCCAATTAATAGTTATCCCTTCAATTTTCAATTCTTTGCTACCACTAAAAGATCTGCTGTAAGTATTTTTATACATATAGTTCCTTTTCCTTTTTGTTTTAAGAAGAAAAATTTCCTCGAGTAACATCTCCCCCCCTCCCCCAAGGAAAAAACATCAGGAGACTCTGCTCCTAGTGTATTCCCCATCCTTAAGTCCTGCTGTATTGGAGGTGACCTCTTAATTGCTGACCCTGGCAGAAAACTGTGGGTAGGGCTAGCACCTGGGTGTGTCAGGGCTCCTCTTGCCTGCTAAGGTGCAAATCAACTTTCTTATAACTGCAGAGCAAAGTACAGGCAGATGGGAGAATATGACCTGAGAGGAGACTTGGGACCCGAATCACCTTCCTTGAGAAAGCAAACAGGGGCATCTTTCAGCCAGAGAGGATACACTAGAAGCGGGGGAAAAGCTTCACGTAGAAGGTCAAATTGAACCTGATCTGGAAGGAAACTAAGGGAGAGGCGAGGAGCAAGTCCAGGTATGGGAAATGACCCATGCAAAGGTAGAGATGGGAAAGGAAATGAGAGACACTAAGAACAATAAAGTTGGCCTGGAGAGTATGTGGAATAGAGTAAGGTGTAATAAAGCTGGAAAGGTAGGTTGTTGCCAGGTTGTGAAGAGCTCTGAATGTCAAACCATTCCTAAAGGTGATAGGGACCCACTGGAGTTTAATGAGTAAGGGAGTGACAAGATCAGAGCTGTAATCTATGAGAAAATCACTTTCAATCAATCGATCAACATGTGCCAGGCACTGTCCTATGAACTTTGGTAACTCTGTAGAGGGTAGATTGGAGTGAGGAGAGACCTAAGACTAATTAGGAGGCTATCGAAACAGTCCGGGGCAGGGGTGGGGAACCTTTGGCCTCGAGGACACATGTGGCCTTCTAGGTCCTTGGGTATGGCCTTTTGACTGAGTCCAAGCTTTACAGAACAAATCCTTTCACTAAGGGGATGTGTTCTGTGAAGTTTGGATTCAGTCATATAGAGTTGGGGCCAAAGGTTTCCCACCTTTGGTCCAGGTGAAAGGTAATGAGGACAACTTACTTTGGTGGTTATGAGTCGAGAAAAGGGAATGGATGGAAGATCTAAAGAAGGGTGAGTTTAGTGGGGGAAAATGAGCTCTGGATTTATGTTGTACATGTTTTGCTTTTTGTGTATGTGTATACTTATTTCCTTCAAATGAAATATAAGCTTCTGAAGGAAGGGATTTTTTTTTCTTTTGGCCTTTGTGTCCCTGGTGACTAGCATGGTTCATGGTATGTAGTAGGTACTTAATAAATGCTTATTGAATGAATGCATAAATAAGTGAGTCTATTCTCAGCCCTAGCATCTCTAGGAATCTGAGCTGGAAGTTACTCTGCTGCTTTCCAGCAGTTCCCTAGCATGACAAAGGAGAGAGAAGGTCAGTTAGCCAGTCAACAAGTCTGAATTAACAGTCCCCAAGGTGTGTAGTTTACCATCCTCTACACTAATTTGAGGAGGGGGGAGAGGTTGACTTCAGTCAGCAAGTATTTATTGAGTACTACATGCCAGGGACTGTGCTAGGTGCTGCGGATACACAGGAAAAATCAAGTTGATTGAACAACTTCACACATCTTAAAGGACTAAAGAAGTTTATACTTCAATTGCACTGGACCATCAAAATTTGAATAACAATAATAACAATGATTAGCATTTATAAAGCACTTTAAATTTTGAAAAGCACTTTACAAATATCTCATCTGATCCCCACAACAACCTAGAAGGTAGATGCTATTATTATCCCCATTTTACAGATAAGAAAACTGAGGCAGGCAGAAGTTAAGTGACTTGCCCAGGTTCAAATCTGGCCTCAGACACTTACTAACTTTGTGACCTGAGTAAGTCACTTTACCATGTTTGCCTCAGTTTCCTCATCTGTAAAATGAGCTGGAGAAAGAAATGGCAAACTACCCCGGTATCTTTGTCAAGAAAACTCCAAATGGGATCATGAAGAATTCGATACAACTGTACAACAAAAATTGGATGAAACCAGTGACAACAGCTAAAATAGTGTTAGATATATATTTAGAGCTGTAGGGTACCTGAGAGGTCATTAAGTTCAACATCCTTCAATGATGATCCTTCAACAGAAGCCTTCGATGAGCATGAAGAAGGCATCAAGGTCAACTACCATGCTGATGGTAAACTGTTTAACTTGAAAAGGCTACAAGCCAAGACTGAAGTGGAAGGAGAGTTGGTGCATGACTTTTTGTTTGCAGATGATTGTGTACTCAATGCAGCCAGCCTCAGCTCAGGCAACAAAGTATGGATCAATTTTCTGCTGCTTATGCTAATTTTGGCCTCACAATTAACACCAAGAAAACAGAGGTTCTCCACCAACCAGCACTGCACCATCATGAAACCAGGGTTACAGCAAATGGAGAAATTTTGAACTCTGGATAAGTTCACTTACTTCGGAAGAATATTTCCCAGGGATGAACACTTAGATGATGAGGTTGACTGCACACATTGCTCAAGCTAGCTCAGTGTTTGGGAGGCTGCAAAAGAAAGTGTGGGAGAGAAGAGGTATTAGGCTGCCCTACCAAACTGAAGGTCTGCGGACCCGTGGTGCTGACTTCATCGTTGTGTGCCTGTGAAACCTGGACAGTATACCAGCACCATCCCAGGAAACTGAATTGCTTCCTTTTTAATTGTCTTAGGAAGATGCTGAAGATCCCCTGGCAAAAATAAGGTTCTAGATACTGAGGTCCTTTTCCCAAGCTGAACTGTCAAGCACTCAAACTCAACTGCTGAGAGTGAACATATGCCTAAAAGACTATTTTATGGAGAACTCAAAACACAAGCATTCATACTGAGATCAGAAGAATCAATACAAGGACACTCTCAAATTATCTCTGAAAAACTCTGGAATCAGTTGTGAGACATGGGAGACACTGGCACAGGACTGCCCAGCATGGTACGCCTGTATCAAAGAAGGCGTTGTGCTTAAGAGCAGAATTGCAGTAGCTCAAAAGAAACATCAGATGCGAAAATTTAAAGACATTTCTACTCCAAATGTTCATATGGACTATTTGTGCCCAACCTATAGTAGAGCCTTCACATAGTGATGTCATTTTGGTCCTTTTCGAGAATGAAGGACAAAAACCAACCGAGTTCAACACCTTCATTTTACAGATGAGGAAACAGACTAAGTAAGTTGTATAGGGTCATGCAGATGGTAAGTGTAGGAGGCAGAATTCAAATCCAAGTCTCCTGGGCTCCAACTCCAGCACCCTCTCCACTACAGCAAACTGCCTGTTTACATTTATATAGTGCTTTAAAGCTTTCAAAGCACAGAGATTATCTCATTGGAATTTCCCAACAAACTCATATGGCAGGTACTTTTTCTTGCATAGTTAACTCCCAGATGTAGGGACTGCCTTTGCAAATGCAGATAACAATTGCTCTACATTTTATAGTCTTTGCATAGTCTGAGGGCACGAAGAGGTCTAGTGATTAGTCGGGGGGGGGGGGGGGTCACAAAGCCATTAGACCGGCCTTCTAGATTCTGAGATCAGCTCCATTTCCATTAGGCTACCCGACCTCTCAGGACTTCTCCCAGGTGGCCTTCTCCCTTCAGGTGTGAGCCAGTTTCGAGGGGGCACGACTCCTCTAAGACCTGGAGTACAGCATTCCTGTGGGCTAGAGCTACATTTATCATTAGTCCCCATTTATCAGATGAAAACACTGAGGGTCACAGAGGCCTGTCCTGGGTCACACAGTTAAGTGTCAGAGGCAGGATTTCCACTCTCATCCCAGCAAAGCTAATTGGGATCCCTCGGAAGTTCCCGATATTGACCCGTGCGCCCAAAAGGCTTCCCACAAGATCAGTCCCACGAACCAGTTCCTAAAAAAGGCTTAGTATGAGGGCGCGCGCACGTAGCGATAGGGCGCGCGCGTAGGGATGGGGCGGGCGAGTGCACGTAGAGATGGGGGTGAGCGAGTGCACGCACAGAGTAGACTGGAGCGTCCGCGTGAGAAAGGCTGGGGAGTCCTCCAGCCCCCGGGGGGCGCCCGTAGCCAGGCAAAATTTAGTGCTTCGGTAATCTGAGCCCGGCTGGAAGCGCACCCCTCAGGTCAGCAGTTCCTGGATCTTGGTCGCGGGGGAGGGGTCGAGGCCAAGAAGAGCCGCGCAGGAGGAGGGAGCTTCCCCCTCCCTTTCCCTCTGAGGTACTGCGTGACCCTGGATGGGGCAGAAGTGCAACGCAGGGGGAAAGGGGGGGAGAAGGGGAAGTGGGGCAGAGTGACCGGGGGTGGGGGTGGGAGAGAGACCGGGCAGTAGGAGGGAATGAGCGCTAAGTAGCCTAGAGCCGGATGAACGGAGTACGACGAATCCCAGCTCTGCCACTTACTTCCTAGGCGATCTTGGGCAAATTGCTTAACTTCTCTGGATTTCAGTTTACTTATCAGTAAAATGTGGCGGTTGTACTAAATGCCCTGTAAAATCCCTTTCAGTTCAAAACCTGGAATCGTGTGTGACACCCCAATACTCCTGCCCCCCAGCTTAACTCCCCATCCCCCCATGTGTGCTCCCATCTACCTACCCAATTTGTTCAAACCCCAGATTCTCCTAATTTGTGTCTCCACACAAGATCTATGGCTTTTAGTCGTTATTCCCATCTGCACCCAGACACCTGAATCCCCCCACCCTCCCATCCATGCCTTCTCAGACCCAGGCCTCCCTGTCACCCCCAATGTGGCCTCTCAATCCTGGGGCTCCTTGACTCCCATAATCTGTACCCCTTCCAGGAATCCCTGACCCCCATGATTTATCTTCACTAATTATAGACTTAGGGCTCCCTGCTTCTTCTAGGGGATGTGTGCTTCCCTGACCTGGGGCTCCCCTACATCTCTAGCCCCCATTTATTCTTCCTTGAGTATCCCCCCATTTCTGGGTTACCTAGCCAACAACCTGCAGGGGAGCAGGCACCTCGGGCTACCCCTGGCCCATCACCCAATATAGGAATTTTCCTTTCTGCCCAGATTTCCAAACCTCTCCTCTAATCTCATTCTCCTCCCTTATCCTCTTTCTTTCTATAGGTGTAGCCAGGATGGAGAGGCTTTTGATACAACTGTGTGATTCCAGCCCAGACAAGCCATTCCCACTCTGGGAATGGGGCACTGTGGGACACTGCTTTACCCAGCTGGTGCTCAATTCCCTGGCACATGTACTTCTTGCCCTAATCAGTGCCTGCTACCTCGGCACTCCAAGGTGGGTAGAGAAAGGTACATGAAACCCTTCCAGGGGACAGGCCACCATCCCCTCCTCCTTTTTATCCCTACCCCCAACCCCTCCAGCATTCTTCTCTGCATTTCCACTACTCCTTTTTTGTGTTATGCTAAATTATTTTTTGCATTTGTAGCAGATTTGGGTGAAGTGTTTATTCCAGCCTTATTTTCATTGCCTCAAAGGTGTGCGTTTTTGAGGGGCTCATCATGACAGCAATATAGAATATCAGACCAGTTTGTCACTAACATAGCCCCAGAGCTCTTGAGCTAAGAATACTTAGAATCTGACGCACAGAGAAGAAAGGTGATAGGTGAAGAAAGGGACAGGACGTGAAAGCAGGATTCTAGCTAGCTGTAGACACCCCTAGCTCTGCATAAAAATACTGTGTAGAAGCTAAAGTGACTCTCAGTGTCCTGAGTGCTTAGGGGTAATGGGGTGGGGAGATTGGAACACAGAGATAGGAGGTGAGAGATGATCCCGAACGAGAGAAACTGCTGGGCTGGGATCTCCTAATCTCATAGGGGAGCCACAGCCCTTGACCTGGGGAGACTTTTCAGTCTGAAGAGGCAGATATGTTCCCTTCTTTAGAAAGCGTCTAAACTAATGTTTGTCCCGACTTTAAGGGACCCCAGTCCAATCAATCTATACCTTAGGTGGGGAAAGCTCTGCAGAGTCTTTCCTTGAGTTTGTGAAGATCATGGATTTATAGATTGAAGAGACTTTAGAGGTCTCTGAATCAAACCCCCTCAGTGTACAGATAAGGAACTTTGGGGCTAGAGACTTTAAGCACCTTCTCTAAGATCACACAGGTAGTTAATAAGTAGTAAAGCTGGGCTTTGAACCAGGGTCAACTCTAGACCCAATGCTCTTTCCATTGTACCAAGCTGCTTCTCTTCATTAGTTTCTGAAATGGCATGGCAAAGCAGAAAGAACATCAGTAGGTCAAAAATCTGCATTGATCCTCCATTGGGTATGTAGTGAAGGCGAGAGTATTTTAGGGTGCTTGCTGAAAAGAAATATGTAAAGCTCTGAAGTGTAAATGTGGAGGCAAGGATTATAGTCTAATCCAGACCTGCACAATTTGGCAATAGGTAGGGGCCAAAATTAAAATAGGATAAACTTCTTTAGGCCGCAGATAAGTTAGGCTGGAGACAGACTGACCATGGTTGACTGCCATGGGTCACGTGACAAACAGGAGAGAGTATGAACTAGCAATCCTACATTTTTTGAGGCTGCCTAAAATCCTTTGGAGGGCCACAAGCGATCTGTAGGCTATATGTTGTGCAGGCTTGCTCTAATCATTAGAGCTACGTATATACTTTGTTTAGGGGTGTGTGTGTGTGTGTGTGTGTGTGTGTGTGTTGGTGTGTATGTGTGTTGGTGAAATGTGTAAATCAAAATATTGACCTATGTTTCAAATACCCTAGTTATGTTTGCTATTTACAGGACCCCCTGAGTGAATTAAATCAGTCAATCAATAACATTTATTAAGTGCCTACTATGTGTCAGGCACTGTGCTAAGTGCTAGAGAGATAAAAAGGCATAAGATAGTCCCTGCCCTCAAGGAGTTTACAATCTAATGGAGGAAACAACATGCAAACAAACATATACAAAGCAAGCTATATTCAGGACCAATAGGAAATAATTAAGAGAGAAGGCACTAGAATTAAGAGCATTTGGGGAAGGCTTTCTGTAGAAATTTCTGTGAGATTATATTGGGACTTAAAGGAAGCTGGAGTGAAGGAGGGAGAGCATTCCAGGCATGCAGGATAGCCAGAGAGGATGGTGGGAGTGGAGAGATGAAATGTTTTGTGAAATACAGAGTCATCCTGAATTTATATGTTGTGTAACTTAGGATATAAGTGGAAAAATGGAGTCTGGAAGTCTTGGCTTTGCTACTTACGCTTTGGCCTCGGAGAGGTCCCTTCGCCTAGTTGGGATTCAGTTTCCTTCTGGGTGAAATGAAAGGGGTAGGACTAAATCATTTCTATGGTCCCTTCCAGATCTGGGATTTTATGTTTTCTGATTTTTTGCATATTGGGTTTTTTTTTTAGTTTCTATTTTTTTTATTAATTTATTTTGATTTATCAACAACCACTTCCATATGCTTTTGAGTTTACAATTTTTCTCCCCCTTCGCACCATCCTCCCCAGGACAGTGCACAATCTGATATAGGCTATACATATACATTCCTATTAAACATATTTTCACATTAGTGATGTTGTAAGTAAGAATTAGAACCAATAGGAGGAGCCACCAGAAAGAGAAAACAAAACTCAACAGAAGAAAAAAAAGTAGCGAATAGTATGCTTTGATCTGCATTCAAACACCATAGTTCTTTCTTTGGATGTGGATAGCATTTTCTGTCATGAGGCCTCTGGAGATGTCTTAGATCCTTGTATTGCTGGGAAGGGTTAAGTCTATCGATATCAGTCATCACACAATGTGGTTGTTATTGTGTATGACATTGTCCTGGTTCTGCTCACTTCACTCGGCATCAGACCATACAAGTCTTTCCAGGTTTTTCTGAAGTCATCCTGTTCATCTTTTCTTATAGCACAATAGTATTCCATTACATTCATATACCACAACTTGTTCAGCCATTCCCAGATTGATGGGCAACCTCTTGATTTCCAATTCTTTGCCACCACAGAAAGACTTGCTATAAATATTTTTGTACATGTGGGTCCTTTTCCCATTAGTATGATCTCTTTGGGATACAGCCCTAGAAGTGCTATTGCTGGGTCAAAGGGTATGCACATTTTTATAGCCCTTTGGGCATGGTTCCAAATTGCTCTCCAAAATGGTTGGATCATTTCACAATTCCACCAACAGTGCATTAATGTTCCAATTTTTCCACATCTTCTCCAACATTTATCATTTTCTTGTTTTGTCATGTTGGTCAATCTGATAAGTGTGTTGTGGTACCTCAGAGTTGTTTTGATTTGCATTTCCCTAATCAATAGTGATTTAGAGCATTTTTTCATGTGACTGTAGATGGTTTTAATTTCTTCATCTGAGAATTGCCTGTTCATATCCTTTGACCATTTATCAATTGGGGAATTGGGTTTTCTTCTAATTGAGTATAGCTATAGATCCAGGTTACAAGACAGTGTTCTGAAGAGGAAGATTGGGTGAGAGACTGAGTTTATACATTGAAGAGTGGACTGGGATGAATCTTGGAAGGCCTGCTGGCAGAGGAGGCTCAAAAGTAAAGTACAAAGGGTTACAGTATTAATTTACCTTTTCATTTGTCCCATCTCCACCTTGTCTAGGTATCCAGACTCCATGCCACCTTGTAGCCCAGGCTGGCGTCTTCGACTTGTCGTCTCCTTCCTGTTGTCAATTCTTCCATTACTTGACCTGTTACCGGCAGCCATCCCCTCAGAGGCAGTCCCTGGTCCCCTGGCGTTAGAGGTGCTGGCAGGAGGTGTTGCGACGATCGCCTGGATCACTCATAGCTTGGCACTCCGGGCACTAGCTCGGTCCCATGGTAGACTTTCTCGTGGGCCTTTGATTTTGGCCCTGACTGCCCTCCTGCCTGCCCCTGCCATGGTGCTGACCCTGCTGTGGCATTGTCAGCAAGGGACTCTCCTGACCCCACTCCAGCTAGCACCCTTCTTCCGACTCTGCTTTGTAATCTTGCAGCTGACCATGCTTCTGGCCTATTTGCTGGGGTGGGCAGTGCCTGGGGACCAGAGGCAGCGAAGGGCTTGGGCCTCTGACAGCCTCCTTCTCGAGCCACAGAGGCCAGAGATGGCTGAAGATGGGGAGAGCTGGCTCTCACGCTTCTTCTACCTGTGGCTGGCTCCCCTGCTGGCCCGGGGGGTCCGGGGACAACTCCAGCAACCTCAAGACACTTGCCTGCTGCCCTCCAGGCTGCAGACAGCCTACCTTGCCCGCCTCTTCAGGGCACACTGGAGGGAGGGGGCCAAGCTGTGGCTGGTCCTGTATGGAGCTTTAGGGCAACGCTATCTCACATTAGGACTCCTGAAGCTAGCAGGGACACTTCTAGGCTTCTCTGGTCCTTTGCTTCTTTCACTATTGGTTGGTTTCTTGGAGAACGAACAGGAGCCCCTGAGTCAAGGAGTGCTTTATGCAATGGGACTTGCAGGTGGGGCAGTACTGGGTGCTTTGCTGCAGAACCAGTATGGGTATGAGTTGAGGAAGGTGGCATTACAGGCTCGAGGAGCTGTGTTGGGGGCTGTGTACCATAAGACCCTCCACCTGGGGCCAAATCGCCCCTCTGCTGGCGAGGCAGTGAACCTCCTGGGCACTGATTCTGAGCGGCTGCTTAACTTTGCCAATAGTTTCCATGAGGCCTGGGGCCTGCCCCTGCAGCTGTCCATCACCCTCTATCTGCTCTACCAGCAGGTAGGCCTGGCCTTCCTAGGTGGGTTGGGCCTGGCGCTGCTGCTAGTGCCTCTTAACAAAGTGATTGCGACACGCATCTTGGCCAAGAATGAGTCTATGCTCCAGCACAAGGATGCTCGAGTCAAGGTAAGGGGGCAAGACCCACAGGTGATGCTGTCATGGTATGAATTGTTCTGCCTTCCCTTCCTCCCACCCACTTCCCTGGAATACTCTCTTTTCTGTAAGGCTCTTCAGAGTGAGTGCCTTCTTCTCATGACAGTTGTGAATGTCTGTACTCTCTGGCCAAACTTCTTTGGCTTCCAAGTGCTCCATTAGCCCATGCCCACTTTATCCATGCTCATTGGCCTTTTTGTGGGATATAGTGTGCCTTCTGGAAGCTCTGAGTACCATCTGAACCCTGTACCAGAGTAGTTTCTAGTCTCCCCCTCTCCTTCCTCCCTCATTTGGATGCCTCCTGACCTTTTATGTGTCCTATGACCCCATCTCCATCCCTTCTCCAGCTCATGACAGAATTGCTCTGTGGCATTCGAGTCATCAAGTTCTGTGGGTGGGAGCAAACTCTTGGCTCTCGAGTGCAGAAACACCGTGCCCAAGAACTTCAGCAGCTCCGTGTCATCAAGTACCTGGATGCAGCCTGCGTGTACCTGTGGGCTGCATTACCCGTTGTCATCTCCATTGTCATCTTTATCACCTATGTCCTCATGGGCCACCAGCTTACTGCTACCAAGGTGAGGGTCTGGGCGTTGGAGGACCCAGCATTGAAGGGAGAAGTGTGATGGGGAGCTATGGTCAATGGGAAAATGGCAGGGTCCTATATAAGGTGTTAAGTGTGAGTGAAGGTCAAGGTTCAGGAGATGCCAGGGAGTAGGGTTTGGGGACTGTGGAGAAGGATCCTGAAGTGACCCTTCTATGGTACCCATCTTATATATTAGCTAATTGACAAAGCAGTTCCCCTGGGTGATCAATTAAATTCCCTGAACCTCAGTTTCTTAATAATTATAATAACAACTAGAGAAGGAAATGGCAAACCACTCCAGTATCTTTGCCAAGAAAACCCCAAATGGGCTCACGAAGAGTCAGACACGACTGAAATATCTGAACAACAGGTTGTTGTTATTATTATTATTATTAATGCTTATTAATAACAATCCTTTATCAATTATTATTATTAGTTATTACAAATAACTAGCATTTATATAGTACCTACCATGCACCAAATACTGTTCTAAGTTCTTTATAAATATTATCTTGTTTGATCTTCACAACAACCCTATGGGGTAGGTGCTATTATTATCCCTAATTTACAGTTGAGGAAACTGAACCAGGTAGGGGTTAAGTGACTTGCACTTAATAGTATTTTTTTTTCCAATTATACATAAAGATAGTTTTCAACATTCATTTTTGTAAGATTTTGAGTTCCAAATTTTTCTACCTCCCTTCCTTCCTTCCTTCTCCTCTATCCAAGATAGCAAGCAATCTGATATAGGTTATACATGTACAATCATGTTAAATGGAGTGACTTGCCTAAGGTCATCCAGCTAGTAAGTGTCTGGGGCTGGATTTGAACTCAAGTCTTCCTGACACCAAACCCAGCACTCTATACACTGTATCACCTAAATTGAAAGTATTGAATCAACAAATGAATGAGCATTTATTAAATACTTACTGTGTACCAAGCATTGTGATAAAGATTCAGATATAAAAAATAAAGACAGTTTCCGCCCTCGGAGCTTATATTCAAAAGGAGGAGATACTATGAAAGGGAGTATGTTGGCCAGGGAAGGGGAATTCGGTTCTGAAACTTTTGGGATGAGAAGTATGGCCTTAAAGGAGTAGATTGACACATTCCTTTCTAGGAAGAATGGAAGATTAGATTTGATCATGGGCTCATGATTCCAGAAAAGGGGGGGAGGGGAGAGGAGAAGAGAAGCAATCACCAATCAAGAGAGGTCCAGGGCAGCTAGGTGGCAAAGGAAGATAAAGCATGGCTCTGAAGTCAGGAGGACCTGAGTTCAGATACAGCCTCAGACACTTACTAGCTGCGTGACCCTGGGCAAGTTACTTAACCCTCATTGCCTAAAAATAATGGGAGAGACAAAGTAGGGTCTCCAAGAGCTCCAGTTTCTCCAGGATAGGAAAGCCTGTGGCTCGATCACAGAAGACTCAGGACCAGATGATTGCTAAGGATCCTTACGTCTTTGATATTCTCTGATTCTGTGACCTGGATACCTCAAGAGAATTGACCTAGTCTTCCTCAAATTTTTAGGATTAGGGGCAACTCCTGCTCCGATGGTTAGTCAAGACCCTCTTGGAGTCACTGTTGAGTAGGTCCCTTCCTTATTCTCCTTTACCACCCACAATACTTTATAATCAGAGAGGGTTTCACTGTAGAGGTTTGACCCTGGACTGCAGGTGACACTGCCTCTTGTCCTTTTCTCTCCAAGGTATTCACAGCATTGGCACTGGTCAGCATGCTCATCCTCCCCCTCAACAATTTCCCCTGGGTAGTCAATGGGCTTCTGGAGGCCAAGGTGTCTCTGGAGCGCCTACAGCGCTTCCTGGACCTCCCAGACCATGATCCTCAGGCCTACTACAGTCCAGGTATTGTGGAGAAGAGGACAGTAGGGTATGGGGTGAGGAGAGAGTAGTACCTGGTACCAGGCAATGGGGCTGGCAGCTGCTGAGAAAACACAAAATTTGATTACCCCTGGGAATTTGGGGTTGAAGCTGGTTGGGGTAAGAGGTGCCATTCCTCCGCCAAGAGATGGCTATGGCACCTGCTGGCTTCATCCTAGTCTCAGATTTGTAATTGTGGAGTGGTCAATGAAAGGGGAAACAGCAATTGACTTAAGAGTCAGGAGACCTGGGTCTGCTCTGAAACCTTGCCATTGACTCCAGGCCTGTTTTCCCATCTGTAAAAATGGGAATCAATTCCTACATCATCTTGTTAGAATCAAATAAGGTAAGAAATATGAAAGTACTTTAAAGACTATAAAGTACTATATGAACATAAGCAGTTATGCTGGGAACCTGGGGGAATGGGGTAAGAATGCTGGCTAGATCTGGCGGGTCATTTAGGCAGTACAGAGCTGACCCCCATGTATCAGGGCACATGAGGCAGAGGAGTCACTTGCAACTGACCTACTTTCTTTGCATCCTCCTTTTCTCATCCCTACTCCTAGAGTGACGGTGAGTAGGAGGCTACAAACAGGGTTTAGTGCAGGGGTGGGGAACTTGTGGCCTTGAGGCCTCAGGTTCCCCACCCCTCGTTTAGTGTCAGGCAAATTATCTGTGGATGGGGAACCTAACTCAAGTAACAGCCTTTCTTTTCCCTTCAGATCCTCCCACAGAACCCCTAACAGTGCTGGAGCTCCATGAAGCCATGTTTTCCTGGCACCCCATTGGAACAGGCCTGGATACCTTCATCACTCACCTTGAAGTGAAGAAGGTCAGTGAGTCAGCTCCTTGTCCTAGCTTCCCCTGAGCAGAAATCTCCAGACTGAACACTGATAATTCCCAATTTTGTTGAGAGTGGAGGAAAGAAGAATGGTTCTTGGGGCAGCTAAATGGAGCAGTGGTTAGAGCACTGGCCCTGGAGTCAGGAGGACCTGAGTTCAAATCTGGCCTCAGACCCGTAACACTCACTAGCTGTGTGACTCTGGGCAAGTCACTTAACCCCAATTGCCTAACCCCTCCAGCAAAAAAAATTATTCTTATCCTCAGAAACAGAACTTGATGATTTTCCAGGTTGCAGACTTCAGGTTATTCCCAGTCTGATCAAGGAGACAGAGGAAATAGGGTTGAGGGCTTCTAGTTGAATGGAAAAGACAGGACAGAGTTATAGACATAGAAATAGAAAAATAAGGCCAGAACTAATGAAAGCCAGGTAGCTCTAAAGATATGGTCTTTATAAATGCTCATCTATTTTCCTGGAAGACTTCGAGGGATATGATTGATGTTATTTTACTGAAATAGCGTAGCAGGTAGAGGGGATACCGTTCTGGGAGGGGGCAAGGCAGGCTACCCTGCTGTAGCTGCCATGCTTGCTAGTCACTGATGGACATTTCTTTCAGGGTTCGCTGGTGGGCATTGTGGGGAAGGTGGGCTGTGGCAAGAGCTCTCTCCTGGCGGCTGTCTCTGGGGAGCTCCACAGGTAACCCCCCCAGAACCCCAGATGCCTGTCCCCCAACCCAGTGCCAGGCTCCAGCTCTTCTTCCTTCACTGTCCTCTCCACTCCCCTCACTCTCCCCACTTAACTCCTCCATCCTGCTGCCCATTGGTATCAGGTGGGAGTTAGGGAAAGGGGAGGGGGAAGATGAGAGATGGGAGTATAAGATGTGGAGAAAGGTCGGGAGAACCGCAGATAGGCCCAGGTTCTCTTCCCTTTCTCTTCCCACATTCCCTTGGGCAAGACACTCATTATCCCATTTAAAGTTAAATTAAATTGTGGGTGGGAAAGTGTTTTAGAAATGGAAATGTAGGGGAAGGATTGTTTACAGTATTGTTGCTATTTTCTAAGCTCTCACTGTGGAGAAAGGGGCTATTGGAGGATATAAAATGAGAAAGGATTTTTCTCTGACCTTATCAGAGGATATATAATAGAGTTAGCTAGAAACTGACAAATGCTCAAAATGTAAAGTTAGATGCATATAAATGATGTCTGGATCACCCTCCATTAAAAAAAAAATGCAACCTATAGATATGAAGATAACACCCCCAGGCTGGTTGGGTACTTGTATTCATCTTTTTATTCTGTGGGAGGATGAGTTAAAAAGATTCCAATTCAATGAATGTTTATTTCGTAAGTACTTATCTGTATTAGATGCAAAGTCATATTACAGCCAGACTATCCAGAGTCATCTTCTGCTGGTTCTCTGCTTTCACATGGTAGCAAGTGGTAGTTAGGGCCAAGTCTATGGTCAGGGAGCAGTTTTTTCCTATGTGTGCAAAGCTAACTGACTAAGCCAGAACCCACTATCCAGGCATTATTTGTGTTACCTTCTAACCAGCCATCCTGTGGGTCATTATAGCCACTGATATAGGGAAGGGAATAAACATTTATAGTGCCCCGACTGTGTGCCAGGCGCTGGGCTAATGCTCTTTTTTCAAATAATGTTATTTTACAAATATCTCATTTGATCCTCACAATAACCTGTAGGGTATGTGCTATTATTATTCCCATTTTATAGTTGAGGAAACTGAGGCAAATAGAGATTTAGTGATTTGCCCGTGGTCACACAGCTAAGTGTCTGAAGCCATATTTGAACTCAGGTGCTCTATCCATTGCCTCACCAGCTGCCTCTGATATAAGGAACTGACATATATCTAGATAGAAGGCAGTGTGATCCAGTGGGGAAGGTGCTGAATTAGGAGTCTGAGGACTTGGGGCTTGAATTTCAGCTCTACCACTGTCCTGTGTGACCTTGGGCAAGACATTCCAGGAAAATCTTCTTAGAAGACAAGGATTTGGGACAGCTAGGTAGCCCTCTAGGTAGAGCACTTGCCCTGGAGTCAGAAGGAACCTAAATTTAAATCCAGCCTCAGACCCTTACAAGCTGTGTGACTCTGGGCAAGTCACTTAACCCAGATTTTCTCCCAAAAAGAGAGGAAAAAAAAAAGGATTTAGAATTGGAGTTTGGACTAGTATGGTAGGACCCTGAAGGGAGCAGTTATTCATGTTTCATTATTCCCCCGCCACCCACCACACCCACCCTTGACTTCCTGCAGGTTAAGTGGTCAGATCTCAATAGCTGGGCGGTGTGAAGGCTTTGGTCTGGCCACCCAGGAACCTTGGATCCAGTTTGCCACCATTCGAGACAACATCCTCTTTGGGAAGGCATTCGATGCTCATCTCTATTGGAAGGTGTTGGAGGCCTGTGCCCTCCACGATGACCTTGCTGTGAGTGCCCTCAACCCCTAATGACTTTCTTTCTTCTCTAGGAAGGGACTCCCCCAGCCCCATCCCTTTCCCTGAAAGTACTCCCACCAGACTCACCATGGGGCCCAGGGAAGTAAGGTGGGCATTGGGGTGCCTCATGTACCACAGCATGAGTATTTCTGGCACCATGATGCTACAGACCCTCAGGGAGTTCTGCTCCACTTTCTTGACTGTTCTTCTAGGGACACTCACTTCAGATGAGGCTAGGAAGTGCCAGGGCCTCCCTAGGGAGGTGGGGCCAAGCTCTTAGGATTTTTCTGGGATGGAGGGAGAGGAGAAGGATTAATTCCAGAACTCTTCCATGACCCTCCCCTCGTCACCTTGTTATGTCCCCAGGAGCTCTAGGCCTGCTATCCTTATCACCCTGCCTGAAAGCTCTCTAGGGCTGGAGGCAGTAGGATGGCTCGAGCTTGAGGATGGCTTGAGCTTGTGCCCATTCCCATTGGTGCAAGTGCTTTGACCACAGGGTATCCCATGCCTGGGGCACAGGTTCTGTTGGCCCTGTGACCTGGGACAAATCACTTTACATGTGTTGATCTGCATTGGTACCAGTGAAGTTATAGATCCAGTCTAAAAAACCAAAAAACACAGGCTTTATAGTCAGAGGACCTGATGTCAAATCTCACCTCTAACTACAAATATTATCTCCATTTCACAAATGAGTATTGTTGTTGTTCATCCTTTGTTTTCGAAGAGGACCAATGACATCATGGGTTATGTCTTGACTTGTGCATGAATTGGATTTAAGTGAGGCAGAGCCACGCACAGTCGTCAGCCTCACTCTTCCTGAGTCATCGAAGTCCAGTGGCAAGACAAAGATGACTGCTGATGGCCTGGAAAACCTTGGGTGTCTTCAGTGTCTGACCAAGCTCTAAGCCCTCCACAGTGCCTGCTCTGGCCATCTTTGTGGCCATTGGAATAAATTGTTCTAATCTGCCCATTTGGCCAAGGGAGGTCATCACATGCTTGGGGTAGACACCCTGCTAACTAACCAACAGATTTGAGGCCCCTTGGTTACCCTCCAAATGGTTTAGCCCATCTACGAAGACGGTTTACTTCATATGGCTGCTGCACGTGCTGCAGCTTCTTGGAGTCACAGGTGAGAGGTGGGTGGCAGGTGGACACCAAAAGTGGATGAGCAGCCTTGAAAAGGGCTCGGCAAACCCTCCTGGGGTGTTCAGGGAAGACTAGCACAAGTGAGTAACTGGAGGCTTAGAAAAGTTATGACTTTCCTATAGCTGTGTAAACAGCTTGTAAGTAATCAGAAGTAGGATTCTAGCATAGAAGACCTGTGGAATTTCCTGACCTGTGGAATAAAGCAGTTTACACTTCTATGGAACACTTTTAATGTTTACAAAGCATCTTTCACGTGGGATATATCTCCTTTGATCCTAATGACAGCTGTGTGAGCTAGGCAGGTATTGATCCCATGGATACTTGCGTGGATCTCTCACCTCATCATTGTGGGCACACCTTCTACCAGGGCAAATCTTAGCACATCCATATCTTCTTATCTCATGTGCTTTTCTTTCATAGCTTTCTATTCATCCTCCATAAAGAATATTTTCTGTTCATCTTACAAATAAGGAAACTGAAAATTTTCAGTGATTTGCCCAAGGTCACACAAAACAAGATCTGAGACTGAAATTGAGGTCTTATAACTCCAAATCTGTTGTTATTTTTGTACTCCTTCATGCTGCTATGCCAACAGATCCTGCCTGATGGAGACCAGACAGAAGTGGGAGAGAAAGGTGTGACTCTCAGTGGTGGACAGAGGGCCCGCATTGCCCTTGCTCGAGCTGTCTACCAGGTAAGAAGAGGACAGGAGAAGGTTGAGGTTTGGGAGGGTGTTGATAGGCTTAAGAGGGACTGACAGACTGAGGCTGACAGAAGGGAGATCTGCATTGCCATCCAATTCCTCTCTCCTTCCCTTCTTATCACCCAACCCTCTCCTACTGTCCATTTTCTTTTACCTTTTGCAGCTGAATGGTGGCCCAGTGTCTGGCACATAGTAGGCACTTAATAAATCACAACCACATTGAATCAGACATTTTATATGGTTGGGAGGAGGTTTCCTAGACCCAGCAAAAGCTGAGTGCTGGCCCTAGGTCACTTGGCTCCCCTTGACCATAAGGAGATCTTCTCAAGTCTGACTTCTCTTTCTTACTGCATTAGTGGTCCTTGTTCCCCTCAGTCTTTCTGGGGATAGGTCCCCTGGGAGGTTCTCAGAGGCTTTGTCTTTTGAGTCATTACCAGCCCCCTGGCTCCACACATGGCCTCTGCCTTCAGTTGGTAGCTCCTCTTACCGTTCTTTCCCCAGGAGAACAAGCTCTACCTCCTGGATGATCCCCTGGCTGCTGTGGATGCTGATGTGGCCAACCACTTGCTGCAGAAGTGTATTCTAGGCATCCTGGGACACACCACCCGGCTGCTCTGCACCCACCGAACAGAATACCTGGAGCAGGCTGATGTTGTGCTGTTGCTCGAGGGTGGGCGCATCATCCAAGCAGGTACCCTTGGCATTGGGGGCAGATGAGGCCAGGGGTGGGTAGCTACTGAGTATCAGCTTTCCTATCGTGCTGGAATTCAATTTACCTAGTATCTCATGACTACCTATTCTGTGCAAGGCATTGAGGATAAAAAGACAAAAATTTTTAAAATAGTTCCTTACTTTCTTTGTTGTTGTTTAGTCATTTTTCAGTTGTATCTGACTTTTCATGACCCCATTTGGGATTTTCGTGGCAAAGATAGTGAAGTGGTTTGCCATTTCCTTTCCACCTCGTTTTATAGATGAGGAGACTGAGTGACTTTCCCAGGATCACACAGCTAGTGAGGCCACATTTGAACTCAGGAAGATGAGTCTTTTTGACTCCTGGCCCAGCACTCTCTCCACTGCATCACCTAGCTGCCCACCTATTTGCCTTCTAGGAACATGTAAACAGATGAGCAAATACAGAATAATTTAAGGAGGGAGAGAATACTAATGACTAAGGTGAAAAGGGATAGCTTCATGGAAGGAGTAATGCCTAAGTGTCTTTAAAGGAAGATGAGGCATTAAGAGGTCAGAGGGGAGGTGAGATGTCCAGATATGGGGACAGTGCGTACAAAGGCACCCAGATGGGATGGAATGCTGAGGCCAGGGAACAGTGAATAGACTGATGCCATTGGGAGGTAGAGTGTATGAAGGGGATTGATGTCCAAAAAGGAAGGTTGCAGTCAGATTATAAAGGTCTTCAGATGCCAGGCTGAGGAGTTTGTTTGATCTTAGAGGCAGCCAAGGTCTGGAGCAGATGAGTAATGTGGTCAGATGGGTGCTTTAGGAAGATGATATGGGCAGCTGTGTGCAGGCTGGATCGGAGAGGGGAAGGACCAGAAGCAGGGAGACCAGTCAGGAAGCTGCTGCAGTAGACTAAGTGAGAAGTGATGAGGGTCTAAAGTTTAGACTCTCAACTATGATAATGGCTGTGTCAGTGGTGGTGAAGGGACAGAAGTGAGTGTTATTGTGGAGGTAGAAACAAGAAAAAATTTGACAATTTACTGGCTATGAGGGAAGGAGGGGAGGGAGGGAAGGATGAAGGAAAGGAAGGAAGGAGGGAGGGGGAAAAGGAAGAAAGGAAAGAATGAAGGAAAGAGAGAAAGGAAAGAAGGAACCATTTGTTAAGCACCTACTATGTGCCAGGCACTGTGCTAAGTGCTTTACCAATATTATCTCATGTGATCCTCAAAACAACCCAATGAGGTGGTGCTATTAATTTCTCTGTTTTACAGTTGAGGAAACCAAGACAGAGGCTAACTGACTTGGCCAGGGTCACACAGCTAGTAAGTGTCTGAGACAAAATTTGAACTTAAGTCTTCCTGACTCTAGGTCCAGAATTCTATCCACTGTACCACCTAGTTGCCTCAAGAGGTGAAATGACTTTGAGTTTGGGAACCTAGGTAACCAGAACACTTGTGCAACCTTCAACATGAGTAGGAAAGCTTGGAGAAAGGATAGGTTTAATGGGGATAATAATGAGTTCTATTCTGAAAATAATGAGTTTGAGCTGCTTATGAAACATTCAGATAAAGCTATCCATCAAGTAATTGGTGCTGTGAGACTAAAATTCAAAGAGAAACTAGGGCTGAATATATGCATTTGGGAGTCATCTGTGTAGAAATGATAATTGAATCCATGGGAGATAAGATCACTGAGAGTATAAAGAGGGGAGAGAAGAGCCTTGGGGGATGCCCAAAGCTGGATAAGGATCCAGCAGAGAAAACTGAGAAGGAGCTGTCCAGCAGGCAGGAGGAGAACCAGGAGTGTCACAAAAGCTAAGGGAAGAAATCTTCAGGAAGGAGGGGAATGAGATCCATAGTGTCAAAAATTGCTGAGAGCTTATTATGAATATTGTTATAATCATAACTGACATTTTTATGGCAGTTACTATGTGCCAGGCATTGGGCTAAGGACTTTAAAATTATCTCATTTGATTTTCGAAACAGCCTTGTGAGGGTTGGTTCTCATCATCATCATTTAGCCTGTGGAAGAGAACCCTTATGGTGGGGCACAGGGATAAGACAGTTTTGTGCAAGTCTTTAAAGGGCTGTCATTTGGAGTCACGATTAGATGTGCTGTCTTTCTGGTCCTAAAGGGGAGATGATGGGGACATTTAGGGAAACAGGCAGACAGTGGCTGAGTGACTTGCCCATTAAGTGTTTGAAATTAGATTTGAACTCAGGTTTTCCTGACTGCAGGCCTGGTGCTCTATTCATTGCACCACCAGCTGCCCCAAGAAGGATCAAAGACTGATCAAGAAGGATAAGGATTAAGGAAGGCTAGCAATGAAGAGACTGTTGGTAACCTTGAGTGATGACTGGTACTCTAAAAATTAGGGCATCTGGACTCTGGTCCTAGCTTTGCCACCAGAATTGCCTGGGTGACTGGGCAAGTCATTACCCCTTTGGGGATTTCTGCTTCTCCTCCTGTATTATATAATGTATAGAATCATTCCTAGGTTCTGAGGACTGGTATGAGTATGAAATGAAAGGATAGATGGGAAAAGTACAAGAATCAGTGAAATATGTGAATAGAATTTTTTTAGGAGAAGGGGAGATAGCTTTGGGACTTGTGGATCTGATTACCTCATGGGGCCTTCGGGAGAGCTCAGAGTTGAGTGAGATTTCTCATAAAATGGTTTAGAGAAAATGGTTTTGAGGATAGGTTTAAGAAATTATGAGATATATATAATTGATATCATATTGCTTGCCTTCTCAAGGGGTGGGGGAAGCATAGGAGGGAGGGAGAGAATTTGAAACTCAAACTTTAAAAAAAATGTTAAAAATGTTTTAATTGTAATTGGGAAATATTTAATGAAATAAATAAAAATATATTTTAAAAAAAAAGAGAAATTACAGGACACAACATGGCTTAGTTACAATAATGAATCCTATACTTGGAGTCAAGAGTGTGTTGTTTTTGTTCAATTGTTCAGTCACGTCTGACCCTTCTTGACCCTGTGGGCCATATTGTCCATGGGGTTTTCTTGACAAAGATACTGAAGTGGTTTGCCATTTCCTTCTCCAGTGGATTAAGGCAAACCGAGGTTAAGTGACTTGCCCAGGGTCACATAGAAAGTAAGTGTCTGAGGCTGGATTTGAACTCAGGTCTTACTGACTCCAGACCAAGCACTCTAACCACTGAGCCAAAGCTAGCTGACTCGCCTCAGGAACACCTGGGTCCAAATCCCACTTCTGACACTTACTACCTGAGCAAGCATTGGCAAATCATTTAACCCTTCTGAGCCTGTTACTTCATCTTAAAATAGGGATAACAATACTTGTAGCAGTTGTTCTGAAAAAGATCTGGGGGTGTTACTGGTCTGCAAGCTCAATATGAGTCAACAGTATGATACAGAAGCCTAAAAAGGTAATACAATTATCCCTTCAATATTGAGGGGCTAAGTGCACGGTGCCCCCATGATCTGGAAAATCCATGTAAAATTTTTTTGGCTTTCCCTTCATATCAGAGAAGAAGTCTGAATTTTTTTCTTTTTCTTTAGTGGGGTGTTTACAGTACTTTTTATTATAAAATTTAGGGTGATATTATACAATACTATACATATATTTTATGCATTTCTGAGTTTCTAAAGTTTTTCTGTGTCATCTGCTGGCCTTTGAATGTCATCTCCAGCTTCTGCAAAGCTCCCAAAAAATTCCTATTTAATTTCTTATGTCGACCTGCTATATATCGAAACTGCTATGGGGAAAGTCATGATGTGGAAGGGATAACTGTACATTCTTAGGTTCCGTTAAGAAGGACGTTAGCTTTCAAGAATAGGACGGTAATAGTCCTACTGGGCATCTAGGCGGCACAGTGGGCAGAGTGCTAGTCCTGGAGTTAAGAATTCCTGAGTTCAGATCTGACCTGGAACACTTTCTAGCTGTGTGATCCTGGGCAGGTCACTCAATCACTGTCTGCCTCAGTTTCCTCCGTTCTAAAATGGGGATGTGAATAATAGCACCTGTCTCCCTGGGTTGTTGTGAGAACCAGATGAGATAATATTTGTAAAGTATTTATCACAGTGCCTGGCACATAGTAGGCGCTATATAATTGTTTATTCTCTTCCTCTCCCTTCCCCTTATTGTACTCTGCCCTTGTCATTTCGGGTATTCAGGTCTGAGGACCTGGGTTTAAGGAGGACATTGATAAACTGGAGAGAGTCCAGAGGAGGGCAGCATGGATGGTGAAGGTCCTTGCATCCATATCATATGAGTACTGGCTGAAGGAGCTGGGTGTGTTTAGTCCTTGAGGTGGGACACGGGGATAAGCCAGGTTTGTTCAAGTCTTTGAAGGGCTGTCATTTGGAGTCAGGATTAGATGTGCTCTGTTTGGTCCTAAAGGGGAGAACCAGGAGAAATGGGGGGAAGATGCCAAGAGGCAGATCTGAGCTTCACCTCAGGAAAAGCTTCCTAAAAATTAGAGCCTCCTTAAAGAAAGAAAAAAGCGCCACGCCCTGCCTGAGGAGGTGAGCACTTGTTGGGGAGGTTATAATGGGGGTTCCTTTGGTATGCGACCTGGACTAGATTCCCACTCTCACTTTCTGTGATCTCTCCCAGCTTGGTCATGAGGTCCAAATGAGACCATCCAGAGCACTTCACCAACCTTAAAGCCCTGGATCAGCTATTGGGATTATTTTTTGGTTACTACATTATTATTTTTATCATCATCATCTATCAGTCAACAAGCAGTTATTTTTTTTAATTTTTTTTTTTTTTAGGCAATTGGGGTTAAGTGAATTGCCCAGGGTCACACGGCTACTAAGTGTGAAGTGTTTGGTCTGACGCTGGATTTGAACTCAGGTCCTCCTGACTTAAGGGCCAGTACTCTATCCACTGCACCACCTAGCTGCCCCCTCAACAGGCATTTATTAAGCACCTGGTATGAACTGAGAAACATAAAGACAAAAATGAAGCAGTCCCTGCCTCTAGGGAGTTTACAATCCATCTTGAAGAAGAATGCGTAATTGGGGTGTACTTTATATAGTAATCATCATGTCTCTGAAGGAATATTTAATTGAACAAATATTTCTTGAAACTGAGGTGGCTCAGTGGACAGCGCATTGGGCTTGGAGTCAGGAAGATTTGAGTCCAGATCTGGCCTCAGACACTTCCTAGCTCTGTGGCCCTGGGAGAATCACTTAATCAGTTTGCTTCAGTTTTTTCATTTATAAAATGGGGATAATCATAGCACTTCCCTCCCAGGGCTGATATAAGGGTCAAATGAGATGATAAATGCAAAGTGCTTAGCACAGTGTATGGCACATAGTATTGATATTAGTCAGTCGTTTTTCAGTCATGTCCAAGTCTTTGTGACTACATTTGGGGTTTTCTTGGCAAAGGAAAATGGAGTGGTTTTCCACTTCCTTCTCCAGCTCATTTTACAGGTGAGGAAATTGAGGCAAATAGGGTTAAGTGACTCACCCAGGGTCACACAGCTAGGGAGTATCTGAGGCCAGATTTGAACTCAGGAAGATGAGTCTTCCTGACTCCAGACCCGCTGCTCTATCCACTGTGCCACCTAGTTGCCAATGGTAAGCACTATATAAATGTTAGTTAGCTGTGTTGTTGTTGTTGTTGTTGAGTCTTGTCTCTTTGTGACCCCATGGACCATAGCACACCAGACCCTTCAGTCCTGCACTATCTTCTGAAGTCTCTCCAAGCTCATTTTCATTTGCTTCCATGCCACTATCTATCCATCTTATCCTCTGCCATCCTCTTTTCCTTTTGCCTTCAATCTTCCCAAAATAAGGGTCTTTTCCATTGAGCCCAATCTTCTCATTATGTGGCCAAAGGATCTAAGCTTCAGCTTCAGTATCTGTCATTTCAATGAAGAGTGTCAATTAATTTCTTTAAGTATTGACTGATTTGATCTCCTTGCTGTCCAAGGAACTCTCAAAAGTCTTCTCCAGTGCCACAATTCAAAACTGTCAGTACTACAGCGCTCAGCTTTCCTTATATAGTCCAACTCTCACAGCCATACATTACTCCTGGAAAAACCATAGCTGAGACTATTTATATTTTTATCATATTTATAAAGTGCTTTGAAAATCTCAAAGTATTCTATAAATGTTGGCTATTATTATTATTTTTTTAATGAGCACTTAACGTGGGTGAGATACTGTGCATGCTACAGGGAATACAGAGATAAGTAAGACACAATCCCTGCCCTTAGGAACCTAATAGCTGTTTAAGACATATGTAAAGATCAGTGGTATAAAGCAGAATGTGATAAATGCCATAAGCAAGGAACGAAATACCATAATCAAGATACAGAGTTTAGAGAAGGAAAAGTTCACTTCCAACTTGTGGAGATTAGGGAAGACTTTCCATTCTCTTGAGATCAGGAAAAATCAGATTTTTTTTTGGGTGGGGACTGTAATCAAAGGTTTAGTGACTTGCACAGGGTCACACAGCTACTAAATATCCAAGGCTGGATTTGAACTCAAGTCCTTCTGACTCCAGGCCTGGGGCTCTATCCATTGCACCATCTAGCTGCCTCTGAAATCAGAACTCTTGTGTGCATGTCCTAACCTCTTCAGTAAAATGTAAGTTCCTGGAGAGCAGCAGCGTTTCATTTGGGGTTTTTTGTCTCTAGTGCCTTATGTGGAATAGGTACTTGGTAAATGTTTATTGAGTTAAACTGAATTGAAACTTTTTTTTTTATTTGTCAAATCTTTATTGGGTAAGTGGGAAAGGTTGGCAGGGTCTGACTTAGTCCTTCTTGGCATCAGCCTTCCTCATAGCAGCTAGGACATTGCTGAGCTCCTCTCTCTTCCTCTTGGCCCAGATATGAGTTCCCACCCTTTTTTGATGAACTTAAGGGCTCCCTTATCCTTGGAGACCTTTAACAATTCCATGGCCAGGCTCTCATAGGGGCAAATCCACACACCTCCTGGATCATATCTCTCACAAACTTGGCGTGTTTGGTGTAGCGCCCACGGCGGTGGCAGTGTCACGGCTTCAAAACGTTTTTGGTAACTTTGTGGCCCTTGTTGAGGCCTACGGCCATGGGGTATTGGATGGCCATGGCTGTGGCACTACTGTAGCCCCAGTGGTAGTGACAGCAGAAGGACGGAGAGAGCATTGAGCTCTCTGAATTGAAACTCTTTAACCTAGTGTTCAGAGCCCTCTGTCATCTGGTTCCAGCCTCATCACACATTCACCTCCATCACATTCTACATTCTGCATTCTATCCAAACTAGATTTTCTGAATGAATCCCTGGGCATTACCCATGCTTTCCTGCCTCTCTCTATTTTTGCTCACCTCAAAATCTCCTCCCCCCATATTTATGGCCGCTGACATCTGTCACATACGGAAGACCGTATTTGAATTTGGAGAAGTTACTCATTTTCCTTCCTCCTCCTTGTCCTCCCCAAGAGACATCCATTATAATAAAGACTAAGAAAGAATAAAAAGTTTTGATGTAAAATATTGAAAAAGTCTAATGTATGCAGTATTCCACACCCATAGCCACCCACCTTATTCTGCAAAGAAAGCAGGAGGGGAGATACTTTGTTATATATCTCTTCTCTGGGGCTCAACATGGTCATTGTAATTGTGAAGTGTTTGGTTTCTATTGTTTTGGTTCTTTCCTAGCTATTTGATTTTAAATTATTTATTTAGTATTTTATTTTTCCCCAATTACATGTAAAAACAATTTTTAACGTTCATTTTGAAAATTTTGAGTTCCAAATTCTCTACCTCCCTTCACCCCCACCCTCTTCATTGAGAAGGCAAACTGTTTGATATAGGTTATCCACGTGCAGTCATGCAAAACATAGTTCCACATTAGTCATGTTGTAAAAGAACACATAGACCAAAAAAAAAAAAGACCCAAGAAAAATAAAGACAGTTAAATAAAAGTATGCTTTGATCTATATTCAGGAACAGTTAATTCTTTCTCTGGAGATGGATAGCATTTTTTATCATAAGTCCTTCAGAGTTGTCTTGGATCATTGCATTTCTGAGAATAGCTAAGTCATTCACATGTGACCATCACACAGTATTGCTGTTACTGTGTATAATGTTTTTCTGGTTCTATTCACTTCACTTTGCATCAACTCATGTAAGTCTTTCCAGGTTTTACTGAGAGCATCATGTTAATCAATTCTTATAGCACAATAGTATTCAATTACAATCACATACCACAGCTTGTTCAGCCACTCCCCAATTGATGGGCAAACCGTCAATTTCCAATTCCTTGCCACCAGAAAAGAGCTGCTATAAATATTTTTGTACGTATAAGTCCTTTTTTTTTTTGTCTCTTTTGGGATACAGACGTAGTAGTGGTATTGCTGGGTCAAAAGGTATTCATGGTTTTATGGCCCTCTGGGCATAGTTCCAAATTGCTCTACAGAATAGATAGATCAGTTCACAATTCCACCAATAGTGCATTAATATCTCAATTTTCCCACGTCCCTTCCAACATTTGTCATTTTCCTTTTCTGTACTATTAGCCAATCTAATAGGTGTGAGGTAGTACCTCAGAATTGTTTTAATTTGCATTTCTCCAATCAGTAGTGTTTTAGAGCATTTTTTCATATGGCGATAGATTTTTCTATTGTTCTGTTGTTTGAGTTGGATTCATTGTGTATATTGATTTTATGCTTCTAATGACTTCACTTTGAGTCAGTTTATATAAGAATTCCCATACTTCTCTGTAGTCATCATAGTCATTGTTTCATATAGCTCAGTAATAATCATAATGGTGGTGATGATGATGGTGATGATGAAGATGATGATGATAATGGTGGTGATGGTGGTGGTGGTGGTGGTGGTGGTGGTGGTGGCTAGCATTTATATAATCCTTTAAAGTTTGCAAAGCTCTTTACACGTATTATTTCATTTGATCCTCACAACAACACTGAGAAGCAGGTGCAATTATCATCCTCATTTTACAGTTTAGGAAAACGAGGCAGGGATTAAGTGACTTGCCCAAGGTCATACAGCTAGGAAGTATCAAGGGCAGGGTTTAAGCTCAGGTCCTCCTCACTGACTCCAGATCCAATGTCCTATTCTCCATGTCACCTAGACACCTCATTTATGTACCACAACTTCTTGTTGTGCCCAGTGAATGGGCATCCACTTTGTTTGGCCTAGACTTTTAAGACTGTTCTTAGGACTGGGCTGGCCTGCCTGCCAGGGGCAGCTAGGTGGCACAGTAGATGGAGTGCTAGGCCTGGAGTCAGAAAGACCTGAATTCAGATCTAGTCTCAGACATTTACTAGCTGTGTGACCCTGGGCAAGTCACTTAGTTCTGTTTGCTTCAGTTTCCTCATCTGTAAAATGAGCTGGAGAAACAGATGGCAAACCACTCCAGTATATTTGCCAAGAAAATCCCAAATGTGGTCACAGAGAATCGAACACAACTAAAAAATGAACAACAACAAGGTCTCTAGAAGCAGTGAGATGAACTCAGTGACTCTGAAAGGCCCTGCCCAGCCCTAGGAGTCAAGGATGCCATGCAAGTTAGAACCAAGTTGGCAGCTGGATCAAGGGCTATTAGAGGGCACAAAAGGTTGAAGCACCATAAACGTTTTTTGAGTATCTGTTGTTTTAAACATGTGTAACAAAATGCTGTAACCCACTGGTAACTAGGACTAGTCTCTTCTGACCTCCATTCCATCCTCTAGGACCACCCTCTGAGATTCTGCCACTGGTCCAAGCTGCCCCCGATGCCCACTCTGAGGATGTACAGAAGACTGAGTCAGGTGTGCCTTTCCACAGTCACCCCTTATTTCCTTCCTTCTCTCTTTAACTCCCATACTCAATACTGCTGAGATTTTTAGACATTGGCCTAAATACTCATCCCCTTCTTTTCCCTTCTTCACGGTCATCCCCCTACCATAAGTCCTCCAAGTGTGACTCCCCATCTTCTCCTTGTACATCATTGTAGCAGCAGCCTTAGAGGCTTGGAAGCCAGAGAAAGAGAGTGAGGAGTCCAAGGAGGTGGGCCCAAACCCCAGCCGCCTGCTCCAGGAAGAAAGAAAGAAAGAAGGGGCCGTGGCCTTCCAGGTGTACCAGGCTTACTGGAAAGCTGTGGGTGGGGGTCTCTCCCTGGCCATCCTCTTCTTCTTGCTTCTCATGCAAGGTAAGAGCATATCTATGAACCCCCAGCTATCTTTATGATTTTGTCCCTCCCTTTGTCCATCATTCACACCACATGGGCTGGGCAGTCTCAGCTCTAGGATCCCCATGTACTGGGATGCTCACTCCCCTCCATGAGAGGCCTGTATACATGGAATTGCATTCTTTCTCTCTCTAGGGGCTCAAGGGAGTGACCATGGGTGACACACTTCTCTCTCTAGTCCAGGGCTTCTTTTTCCACTAGCCACACCTTCAGTGCTTCTTAAACTGTGGGTTTACTGTAGGTCACGACCCACAGTTTAAGAAGAGCTGCTTTCTTCCTCTGACCATTGGATTATTGGATTTAGAACTGAAAGGAGCCAATGAATGAATGAATAAGGATTTATTAAATGCAAACTGTGTGAAGGAATGAATGAAAAAGCATTTATTTGGCATTTACTATGTGGATACCAATAGAACACTGATTAGGAGAGACAACTCATAAAACTCTGAGCTGAAGCTCATAAGAAGTCCTATAGGGCTGAGCAGAACCAGGAGAACATTGTACACAGTAACAGTCACACTATGGGATGACTGACTTTGATAGACTTGGCTCTTCTCAGCAATGCAAGGATCTAAGACAACTCCAAAAGACTCATGATGGAAAATGCTCTCCACACCCAGAGAAAGAACTATGAAGTCTGAATGCAGGTAGAAGCACATTATTGGCTCTCCTTTTGCTTGGTTGTTTTGTTTTATTACTTCATTCTCGTGGTTCCTCCCATTAGTTCTAATTGTTCTTTACATCATGACTAATGGGAAAATATACTTAACATGAATGTATATATAGAGCCTATATCAGATTATATGCTGTCTGGGGCGGGGAGAGAAGGAGTGGAAGAGGGAGAAATTTAAAACTCAAAATCTTATAGAAGTGAATGTTGAAAACTACAAATAAATAAATTAAAAAAAAAAAAGAAGTCCTATAGGGACTAGAATAGAGCACTAGCCCTGGAGTCTGGAGGAACTGAGTTCAAATCTGATCTCAGACATTTCACACTTACTAGCTCCTTGACCCTGGCCAAGTCACTTAACCCCAATTAATTTGTCAAAAAAAGAAGAAGTCTTATAGGTGCAGTGGTAAGGGGAGGATGGCAAAGTCCTAGGGTCTTTCAGTTATGTCATTAGGTCAAATGATCCCAGGGCCTGGTATCTATTGGTCACAGAGGCAAGGCAGATGGTAAAGCTGGGAGGACTTTAGGAGGTAGTAGCAGGGCAGTCGGTAAGGCCTGGTGGTCTTCCCTCTCACCAGAAGGAATAAAGTTGGTGACTCCTATCTCTTCTGAGCCAATAGAGAACCTGATGGATTCTGAGCTGTTGACAGGGTGAGAAAGGGGAAGCAGGGTGCCTTCAGTGGTCACAAGTGTTCCCACATCTCAGGTAGACCTGGATTCTGGGACTGAGGGTGGAGGTGGAAGTGGGCAAAGATGCCCCTGTGATGGCAGGTCTTTCTACCTCATAGGCAACTAGGTAGCACAGTGAACAGAGTGTTGGGCCTGGAATCAGGAAGATCTGAGTTCAAATCCAGCCTTAGACACTTCCTAGCTATGTGACCCTGAGCAAGTCACTTCACCTCTGTCTGCCTCAGTTTCCCCATTATATTATTTATATATTTATGTATTAATTACATGCCACAATTATATATCATAACTAATATATTACATAGATATTATATTATTCATATATATTATTTGTAATAGTTATTATGGACAATAACACCCATCTCACAGGATTCTTGTGAGGATCAAATGAGATCATAATTGTAAAGCACTTAGCACAGTGCCTGGCACATAGTGGGCACTTAATAAAAGTTTTTTCCTTTCCTTCCACTTTCCTCTGTGCCAGCTGTGCCAAAATCTGCTTGGATTTGGAAAGCAGGTCATCTGTTCTAGTCTCCTCATTTCACAAATGAGGAAACTGAGGCCCAGAGAATTAAGTGACTTGTCAGAACTCATACAATAGTAGTCAGTGGCAGAGTCGGGAGTTAGTCTAACTCTAGGAATGCCCTTTCCATTACGCTCTAATGCCTCTCTGCCTGGAAGACAGGGATACTAATGCGTGCACTATCGCAGGGTTGCCAAGAGTTAAATGTTTGTATGACTTAAAGGACTACCAGAAAGTCAGTTATATTGCTATTCTGATTAGACTTTGTGGAAGAGAGAGGTGGTGTCCTTGGCCCTGAGCCCCAGCTCAGAGCCTTCTAGGGAGACAGGGAGGAAAGCCTTCCCAGGATTCAGCTTGCTGTCCAGGCCCTTGCTCTCCTAAGTCTTCCTCTTATTTCTTAAATTTGGGCCTGCTCCCTGCTTCCCCCAGAGTGGCACATAGGGTCACAGAGGAGGCACATCGTGGGTGAGGGGATGGGGAGGCAGGCCAATAGGATGGGGAGGGGCTGGAGGGGCCAATAGGATGGGTCGAGGAGGCTGAGAGGTGGTGAGGAGGGGTCTGGGGGAGGGGGAAGAGTGAAAGATGACAGGAAAATGCAAATGACAGTTCTTTCCCCTCTTTCCTTATTCTCTTCCCAGGGACGCGGAATGCTGCTGACTGGTGGCTCTCTCACTGGATTTCCCAGCTGAAAATAGCTGAGAATGGCTCCCAAGAGCTGGGCCACCTTGCCAGCCAAGCACCCTCGCTGCTGTCCCCACAGCTACTGCTCTTCTCCCCCGGAGGCCTCTTGTGAGTGGGCTGGGGGCCCAAAAAAACCGGAGTCACAGCTGGGTTCAGGGACCAAGCTTGGGAGCAGATCCTGATGGCTTCTCTGGGGTGTGGGTGTGTGGCCTGAGGTAGGGACTTGGCCCATGGATGACATGGTCGTGGATCCCACTTTCCCTTCCCTCTGTCCAGCACCCCCGTGTTACCATGGCCCAAAGCCACCCCAAATAGCTCCCTGGATGTGCAGTTCTACCTGACCGTATATGGGGCCATTGCCAGCGCCAACTCGATCTGCACCCTCCTGCGGGCGATCCTCTTTGCCACTGGCATCCTCCAGGCAGCGGCCACCCTGCATCAGCGCCTGCTGCACCGTGTCCTCAGGGTGAGTGAGTGGAGAGACCCTTTTGCCAGCCTTCCCTCAGTCCAAGGGGGCCATTGCTCCAGCTCTGCACTGCTTTGTCTGCCCAGCGTCCCTACCATGCCATTGCCAAAGTTCCTCTCCTCTCCTTGGGCTGCTTGGAGAGGGTTGTCCTTTGCAGTAAGACACTCACTCTTCTCCGTCACCTGGTGGCAGCATATTGTAATGGAACGGACAATAGATCTGGAACCCCGTGACCTGGGCTCCAGTTCTAGCTCAGACACTTGCCTAGTTACGGAGTCCCTTCATCATTTGGAGGGTAGGGAAGCCACACTGGTTCTTTCATCAGGGCCAGGTGCTCCTAGCGTGGGGATTTCCTTTTCTGATGCAGACCCTCAACTTCTCTGTGAGTCTTATGCTTAGAGAGGTGTCTGGGGGCCCTGAGGAGTTGTGACTTGCCTGTGATTGCAGATGTAGGATTTGAACCAAGATCTTTATGACTCAGAGGCATCAGTGTAGCCACTATATCACTCTGTTTCTGTAATAATAATAACTCATTTTATAGTGCATCAAGTTTTGCAAAATGCTTAATGTCCTGTGTGATCCTCATAACCCTGGCATAGGTGCTGTTATTATCACCCTCATTTTGCACATGGCGAAACTGAGGCTCAGAGAGTTGGCCTGACTTGCTGAAGGGTCACATAGCTAGAAAGGGTCTGAGGTGGTATTCAAACCCAGGCCTTCTGAGTCCACGGCTCTCACCACTAGGCAATGTGGCTTCTCAGTGAAACTTTCTGACCCTCAGGTCCTTCATCTGTAAAATGAGAATACTCATGTCTACACTACCAGCTTCACAGGGTGGTGAAGAAGGCACTTTGGTGAAACAGTGCTATAGACCTGTGAATTATTGCTTTTATTAGGAGATGGACCACGAGTGACCAGCTGAAGCTGTAGTTGGGAGGAGGTTAGAATCCAGGTCTTGAAAGGAACTCCAGGAGGTCAACTAGGTCAACTAGTCCAGTCCCCTGTCTCCTGACAGAATGACTCCCTAGAGGGGTTGGAAGATTTTTCCTGCTCTTAACAAATTCCCTTCCAGAGAAGGAGACTCCATAGCCTCCCTCCCCTTCTCTGAAGCTATTGCTTCTCCCACAACCTACTGGTCAGAAAATCTTGATACCCACCCTTCATCTCACTCCTGTTGAAGGTCTCCCACCTCTAAGAGAAAGGTCAGCTCTCAGGAAGGACATCTTCAGAGTGAAGGGGTGGGAAACCTAGTGACAAAGGATTACTTTTTTTTTTAAAGTTGCATTAATGCCTTTTGTTTTTACACCACAGTCATGTCCCCATATACTCTTCCTCCAGAGGAATTGAGCACATTTCATCATTTGCCCTCCAGGGCCCAGATTGGCCATTGCAGTTAGTGGGAATTCAGGAACCGGCTGGCTTTCAGTCACAGTTCCTTTCTCCCTGGAGAGATTTAAGAACAGCTCAAGTGTCTGATTAGAGGCAGAAAGATGGACAGGCTGCCTTCCCGGAGGCCCTGCCGGCTAAGGGAGATTCACCATCCTCCTCACCCTACCTGCCTCCGAATCTATGGACTTTCTCCTCCTTACTATTCTCCTTCTTTCTTCCCACAACCAGCCCATCCTACCTTAGGGGACTCCCACCCCCACCCCAACATCCCTACGTATCTTATGAGAGTCCTTTGTCTTCTGGTTCTCTTCCCCATATCAGGGCTCACAACCAATTCCTTCCTCTCCAAGATTCTCCTGCCACCCAGTTTCCTGCCCTAGGCTCACCAAGCATCACCCAACCATGGCCTCCCTTTGTAGGCTCCTGTGACGTTCTTTGACTCCACGCCGACTGGCCGGATCCTGAACCGCTTCTCATCCGATGTGGCCTGTGCAGATGACAGTCTGCCCTTCATTCTCAACATCCTTTTGGCCAATGCAGTGGGACTGCTGGGGCTGCTGGCCGTCCTGGGCTTAGGGCTGCCCTGGCTGCTGCTGCTGCTGCCACCCCTCGGCTCCCTCTACTACTCTGTGCAGCGCCACTACCGGGCCTCCTCAAGGGAGCTGCGTCGCCTGAGCAGCCTCACCCTCTCCCCACTCTATACCCACCTCTCTGAGAGCCTCGCCGGGCTCAGTATCATCCGGGCCTCTCGTGCCACCTGCAGGTGAGAGATATTATCATGCCGGGCAAGACTCCCCATCTCAGTACTAGGAACAGAAGGTCCATCTACAGGAGCCCATCCAGGAGTTTTACTAGGGTGAGAATAGAAGGAGCAGAGGCTCAGGGCAATGATGCCCTTAGAGGGAAAAGAAATGGTGCCAAGGAGACACAGTGGGGAAGGGCTGGGGGGTCCTAAGGAGAGAAGGGAGAGTCTGGGGAGATAATATGCCTGGAGGGGAAGATACTGAAGGGACCCTGGGAGGAAAGGGGCACAGGAGAGTTTAGGGAAACTTCTGTGCATAAGCCAATTATCACCTCTCCTATGCCGAACCCTGTGAGTAAGAGTATTCTAATCTTAGACATGAGGACGGGAAGGAGGATAGCCACCCCCTGAGGCTGGTCCTTGGCATGTGGGTAGGAGAGAGACAGCTCAGCTCTTGGCCCTTAGGTTTGAAGAGGAGAACGAAAAGCTGCTGGAGCTTAACCAGCGCTGCCAGTTTGCTGCCAGTGCGTGCCTGCAGTGGCTGGACATACGGCTGCAGCTCATGGGTGCCGCCGTGGTCAGCGCCATTGCTGTCATCGCCCTTATCCAGCATTACCAACACCTCGCTAACCCAGGTGCCACCTTTGTCCCTGTTGGCCTTGTCCCAATCCCAGCTGGAAACCCTCCCACCTCCTCCTAACTTTGTCCTGTGCTTTTGTTCCCTATTAAGGAACTTTCTTCCCTAATTCCTACACTTCCATATCCATCTTGATTACCTGCACCTCCCCGCCAGGCCCTGCTTCCAGCCCCCTCCTCCTTAGCCCCATATATACACCTCACCTCTTATAGGAACTAACCTCTTGTGGCCCCCACCTGGGTCCTTTCCTTTTTCTCAGCCTGCTTCCTTTTGTTCTGCCATATATGTAGATAAACACATGTGTATGTCTGAACACATACACAGACAGATTTTCTTCCACATACAAGCCAATTCAAGAAATATTTAAGTACCTATTTTGAAGAAGTTCCTGTGCTGGGTGTTGAAAATATTAAAATGAAATAAGACATCTCCCCTTCCTTTAAGAAACTTAAAGTCTAATGCATACAGACATACGGCCCCTGCTCCCCAGCCTCCTTCAGTGGTAGAGAGAGCTTAGAGGTGGGGTGGCAGCGGCAGCCAGGGCAGTCCCAGCAGTCTCACCACATTCTTTTTCTCCTTAGGACTAGTGGGCCTGTCGCTGTCCTATGCCCTGTCCCTGACAGGCCTTCTCTCAGGCCTGGTGAGCAGCTTCACGCAAACAGAAGCCATGATGGTGAGTGTGGAGCGACTGGAGGAGTATTCTCATGACCTGCCCAGTGAGCCCCAGGGCCAGCAGATACAGGTAGAGGTGATTGGATGCCCCTTCTCTTCTCCCATCTCAGAGCCTTCCCCACCCCACCCCCCAACAGTATAGTCTAGTTTCAGTCCTAGACAGCCCCCTAAGGAGCAGGACATAGAACCAGGAACAAAATAAGGAGAACCTAGGGATTGGCTTAACTCTGCTGGGTGGTTCTGGGTGGAGAGAAGGTGTTATGTCAGGGCAGTGGCTAAGCTACTATTTCTTACCGCGTCTTAGTTCCCCACCCTTTCCCTTGTAACTTTTCTCTTCATCTTCCCATAAGTCTTTCTCCATTCACCTGTCTTTACTCATTTCTCTCTTTCTCCCCATTTTTCCTTATCTCCTCCCCATCCTGCCCATCCTCTTCACGGTCTCTCACCATCTTCCCAATTTTTACCATCTTCTGTGCTCTTCACCATCTCTCTCTCCCTATTATCCCTACTTCATCTTTCCTCACTTTCTCCCCACCATGTCTTGTGACTATCCTTCTCTATTTCTTCTCACTCCCTTCTTAACACCCCTTCCATCTGTCTTCATTTCCATTCCGCCCCTACACTATGTTTTCACACCCCCTCATTCTCTATCCATGCTCTTCTACCTTACCATCCCTCCCACAATTCTCCTCCCTTTCTCCCCACCATCATTTCTATCTCTTCTCATTACCTCTCTCTCATCACTCTTCATTTTTGTTTCACTGTTTCAACTCCCCGCCACTCTCATGTTGCCCACATCTCTTCCCCCTCTCGCCCGTGTCTTCCTTCCACAGGTAGAAGTAGGCTGGCTGTCACAGGGACACGTGGAGTTCCAGGATGTGGTATTGGCTTACCGGCCTGGGTTACCCAATGCCTTGGATGGGGTTACCTTCAGTGTGCTCCCTGGGGAGAAGATAGGCATTGTTGGCCGGACAGGTTCCGGAAAGTCCTCTCTGCTGTTGGTATTGTTCCGGCTGGTGGAGCCCAGCGCTGGGCATATCCTCCTGGATGGTGTGGACACTAGCTTGCTGGGCTTGTCGGATCTCAGGTAGAGTTGGAGGCGGAGCTGCCACCTAAGGGGTGAGAGTGCTGTGGCCCTTGGGACTCCTGCATCAACTTAGAGGGCCTGGGACAGGACCTAAAGACAGAAGAATGGGAGTGGGGCAGCTTGGTGAAGCTGGGGAATAGGAAAGGCTGATTGGTGCTGTGAGTGCAAAGGGAGCTAAGAGAGATGGAAAAGCATCTGGACAAAGAGATACAATTAGTTAGCCAATCAGTAAGCATTTAGTAAGTACCTTTTATGTGCCATGCACTATGCTGGGTGCTAGAGATTGTCCTCTCTATCCATTCACAGGGATTCAGAACCAAGTCTGTAATTCCCAATTCGGGGCTCTTTCTTTTTCTTTCTTTCTTTCTTTCCTTTTTTTTGGGGGGTAGGGAAGGAATAATCGGGGCTGAGTGACTTGCCCAGGGTCACATTGCTAGTAAGTGTCTGAGATCAGATTTAAACTCAGGTCCACCTGACTCCATGGCAGGTGCTCTATCCACTGCACCACCTAGCTACTCCAGGGCTCTTTCTTTTTTTTGTCCACTTAATAGTATTTTATTTTTTCCAATTACATGTAAAGATAGTTTTCAACATTAACTTTTGTAAGATTTTTGAGTCCCAAATTTTTCTCCCTCCCTCCCCTCCCACCCCACTTCCCAAGACAGCAAGTAATTCCAGGGTTCTTTCACTACACTATGTTGTTTCCCATCAATTGACTGATTCATAGGTAGGAATTAAAGAGGTTTGAGCTCATATGCAAGGATAGACCAGGTCATGTCATTTGCTCCCTTCCCTGTTTCTCAGGTCCCAGCTGGCCATCATCCCTCAAGAGCCCTTTTTGTTTAGCGGCACAGTGCGAGAGAACCTGGACCCTCTGGGTCGCCATGAGGATGAGGCACTGTGGCAGGCCTTGGAGGAGTGCCACCTGAGTGAGGTGATCACTCCCCTTGGTGAGTTCTGGGAACAGGTAGTGGGAGAACCTGGCCAAGGAGAGGCCCTTTCCTGGAGTTAAGGGAGGCCTTGTGAGGTCAGGAAGGAGCGGGGAGAGGCTGGAAGAAGAGGAGCAGGCCTTTTGGGATGACAAAGTCTGGGCCCAACAGGTGGTTTGGATGGTGAGCTGGGTGAGGGGGGACGGCGCTTGTCACTCGGGCAGAGGCAGCTACTATGTTTGGCCAGAGCTCTCCTTACAGATGCCAAGGTAAGGAATGGGACTAGGAGCCCGAGGGTGGATTTGGTAGAGGGGCAGGAGGGTGGCCTTTGAAAGGGTGAGGGAGGAGTCCTTCTGGATTATCAGGGAGACATAAAAAGGGGTTTGCTTCGCTAGGGCTTAGCCCTCCACTGCAGAGCTGGGACAAGGGGGCTAAAGGGATGGGTGCTAGGTTAGGATCCAGAGCAAACATAACCCCTTCTTTTCCTCCCCCAGATCCTGTGCATTGATGAGGCCACAGCCAGTGTGGACCAGAAGACAGATCAGCTGCTCCAACAGACAATCTGTAATCATTTTGCTAATAAGACTGTTCTGACCATTGCACATAGGTATGTATGTGTAGTGGAGATGCCCAGCGAAGGACTCTAAGGGTGATGGGGGGAAGGGGAGGGAAAACTAAACCAATGCTGAAGCTTCCATTGAGGGGGGATGATTGTAACAGGCCAGCTTCAGACCTTTTATTCTTTCCTTCTTTGGGGGGGACTACCCAGAAGGTAGTGAAGAGATATTTTTATCTCCTCTCAGGCCCATCTTATTCTCCTGCCAGACATTGGTGAGACATCAGGGGTGGGAACTGCCTCACCCTGAGGGAAACCGAGTCACTAAGCAACCTTCTCCTCCTGCCCCCACTCCCACCCAATTAGAGTGGGTGGGAGAATCTGATGTCTGATAGTAGGGGAGTAGCAAGTAATGAGAAACGGAGAAAGGACCAACCATCCCATATTCACTCTCTGCCCACCCTCACCTGCCTTATAGGCTAAACACGATCCTGAATTCAGACCGAGTGATGGTGTTACAGGCGGGAAGGGTGGCTGAGCTGGACGCTCCAGCTGCCCTTCGAAGTCGGCCCTACTCATTGTTCCAACAGCTGCTACAAAACAGTCAGCAATAACCCTGCCTCCTCTGAACCGATGGTCTTCCCTCTTCCTCAGTCACACCTCCTTCTCCATGTGGGAGGGCTTGGGGCTTTTAATCTCAGGTGATGAACAGCTGTTTACTCTCCCCTTCATCTAGAGAGCCACCCGGCCCTGGGAGGCACCAGGCCCTCCTCACCTTCCCCAAGCATCCCTGGCTGGGTACCTTGGGATGCTCTCCTTGATACCAATCCTCCTTAGTGAGCTGATGGTATTGCAGGAGAACTCTGGACCAGAGCTGGGACCTTGGACATGGGGCTCTAGGTTGGCCCCACCTGGGGCCAGGAGCCCTGGGAGCATGAGCTATCACTCACTGTCATTTTTTGTAATTTTATTTGATAAAACCTCTCTTGAACAATCTGTGTATTTAAAAAAATAGCATTTCTGGTATGAGGCTGAGACACCTCAGTGGGGGGGAAATCCACAATGGTCTCTGGGGGGTAGGAGATGTGAGGAGGAAGGAGCTGGAGAGGGGGCCCCACTCTGCCCCCCCTCCAGCCCCCATCACAGTGCTGTAGTCTTGCCAGGCTCAGGTGGGGAGCCAGGTGGAGGGAAGATTCCAGCAGGGAGCATGCTGACCTGGCACTCCCGGTCATGTTGCTCAGGGGGCGCGGCATATTGGCGGAGAGGGTAGCAGCAGGGCCCGGCGGGGCAGTGGCCATGGCGCCATGCCCAAAAGATCAACAGCCCTGTGGTAAGGACCGCAGTAGCAGTGAGGACCCCGAACACCACCAGAACAAGCAGGCTCGACTCTCCCATCCCTGCCTCTTGTTGTCGGACTACCTCCTTCACTGAGATTCGCAGTAGTCCTGCACCCACGCTGAAGGGGGCTGGTACTGTGAAAGGAACCACAGCTGCAGGCGTGGGTCCAGGGGCAGTATCTGACTCCGTGGGGAGGTCCAGGGCTGGGAGGACAATCTCACACATCTTGCCCCCATAGCCATCAGGGCAGAGGCAGTCGAAGTCATGGACACGGTCCCGGCAGCGGGCACCATGCTGGCATGGTCGGCTGGCACAGTCGTCCAGGTTGACAGTGCAGAAGCGGCCAGCAAAGCCTTCAGGGCAGTGGCAGGAGAAGCGGTTGATGCCATCGTAACAGGTGGCACCATTGGCACAAGGTCTCATTAGGCAGTCATCCACATTGACCTCACAGCGTGGACCCACAAAGCCTGCCAAGCAGCGGCATGTGAAGTTCTCTGCAAAGCCTTGATCATCTTGGCACTGCCCACCATTCCGGCAAGGAGATCTGAGGAGGGTGAGATGGAAAGGAGAGAGTTAACACTGACAATGTTGTGTGACTTGGACCAAATCACATCCCACTCTGGGCCAGCTGTCCCCTCTGCATACAGAGATGGTTGGACTAGATTTTCTCTGAGGTCTCTCTTCCCCCTCTAAGCTTCTGTGACTGCATCCCCAAATCCATCCATCCTCACCCTCAATACATACTCCCTATTACCTCCCCCCAGGCTCCAACACCCTGATCTTTGGCCCTATTGCCCTCACCCCACCCTAGCCCCTCCTTCAAATACCTTAGTCTGACCTGCGCCCAGGCCCCTACTTTGCCTGTTCCAGTTTCAACTCACCCAGCATGCTCACACGGCCCAGTCTTGCGCTCACAGTTATGCCCATGAAAACCTGGTGGGCACACGCAGTGGTACTCCCCATCCCCCTCATACACACACTTCCCTCCATTCTGGCAGGGTGACTGCTTGGTACAGATGTGCTCATCTGGAGGGGAGATAGAGATGCCTCTGTCGAATTGCCTCTCTTCCTCCTCCCTTCACCCAATACAGGATAAGGACTTCTGAAGTCCCCCCAATTCATGCCTAGCTTCTACCTTTGGGAACTAGTTTCTGTTGGTATGCTTCTTAGCCACATTCCCTGTCTTAAGATCATTGCCGTGTAATGAAAAGCATATCATTCTGGGAGGCAGGTATTGAGACCTGGGCTCTAGCCAGTGACCAGCTGTTGAGACTTTTGAGTAATTCATTTCAGGGCCCATCCCCCACAATCCCTCTCTCCCAGTTCCTCATCATTAAAATTAGGACAGCACCTGTCCCACCTACCTCACAGGGTTATTACTGTAAAGAAAAATAAAAGTGAATTTTTATTTTTGTGCCTTTCATTGTATTTACAGTGTCTATATCATGCCTACACTTTGTATTAGCATACCGAACACAAGCATAGTGTGTTAAGCACATGCTTAATAAATACCTGTTGACTTACTGACTGAATGAATATGAGTCTTTTTTAAAATGCAAAAGGCTATCAAAACCTAAAGGATTTGTATTACTAGGTCTCCTTTCATTTCCCCTTCCACTTTACCTGAAGGGCTCAGCAGGTTTTCCCACATCTATTCTCACCTTTGTCACAGAATTTGCCTGCCCAGCCGCTACGGCAGATACACTGCCACGGTTGGTGACAGGTGCCATGCTGGCAGCCAGGCATCCTGACACACCGCTCACAGTGTAGTCCCTCCCAGCCAGGGTCACACCTGGGGAGGAAGATGGAGGCACAAGTTATTCTGGGAGATTTCAGGAAATGAAAATAAAAGCCTGCATCAAATGGAGTGGAGAAGCTGGGATCTAGTACCCGATCCCTACATTGCAGTGAGTCCACGCCAGATGGACACAAGGTTAGTAATTTCTTGGAAAGTTTGATAAGTTGATCCATTGGCATTTCATATCCTGAGAGGTAAACACCTTTCCTGTTCTAAAATCCCAGTACAGCCTGTAAAAACAAAACTTCGTCAAAGAGCTCTTCTTCTTTCCTAACTTCAGCCTCACCCCGTTGTCTTTTACCGCCATCCTTTCTTTTGAAAAAGCTCCCATTGACATAAGTGTACCATTAGGATTTTTCCAGTTTTCTTTAATCCTGGCTAAATCATCCCTACTCCTTTTCCTGTCTTTATTGCTCTTGTTCCTTTGCTCTCCTCACCCCTAGTTATTTTCTCTGTCTGTTCACTCCATCCTTCTGACCCAGGGGACAAAAACTTTAAAGGAAAGGGAAACATTAGTGAAACTATGGGGATAGATGAATAGATAGCCCTGTGAATATTTTCCCCCACCTACTCCCTTGCCCCCACTTTTAATCTTCAGGAGGAGGAAACTAAAGCGTGTGTGTGTGTGTGTGTGTGTGTGTGTTTGTGTGTGTGTGTGTGTGTGTGTGTGTGTGTGGTGTGCAATGTCTGATATCTGCCTCCCTCTTATCTTCCCTCCAGGGCCCTGGTTGAACTTACTCTTTCCCCCATCTTTCCTCTATCTCAATGCAATAAAATTTAGGACACCAGCAACTGCCTTTCTCTAGAAATTGATTTTCTGACCCTGTAGCTGATGCATCAGGGGCAGTGTGGGTGTCTTCATTTGTTGCAACATCTCTCTCTCTTTTCTTTTTTTTGGTTAAAAAAAAAGAAAAGAAAAGAAAAATAATCTTGGCTATTCCTATTCTTGCTGTCTCAATACAGAAGTAAATTATTAAACCTAAACTGCTAAACTTTGCTTAGGACTAAGCAAAGTGCTCTCCAGTCCACAAAAGCCAAGGAGGACTGTGGGGTAACTGGTCTATATGTCCTTTCCTGGCCTAGAGGAAAGAAGCAGTGGTAGCTTGAGCTGGACCTTCTGGCTTCTTGTAGGTGGGGAAGGGAGGGGTCATCTAAACAGTGAGACAGGGCTAGAGTAGGGAGAATGGGGCCCTAGGAGGGGTTTTGAAAGCAGACTATGGATTGGGAGATCCCAAGCACCTACCTGCACGTGCCGTCAGGCTCACAACAGCCGTGGGCCAGATCACAATGGGAACTACAGTCATCAGCTACTGGAGGTAAGAAGATAAGATTAATGTTTTGAGGTGGCAGAAATCAAAGTATTCCCCGAGTAGGAAATTTGTATTTTGGGTGATGAGGATCTTGGTTTTCTTAGGTCGGAAAATGGAATTTTTCTCATTTTAAAAAAAAAAGGGAGCTGCGTCCATTTCCACACAATCTAGTTTGGGAAGAGTAAAATCCATTGGGTACCCCCCAGGGACATTGATGGTCAGTATGGGTGTAGCCCCTGCTTCTACCGGCAGAGGTCAGTGTGGGAACAGGGGACTGAGCTGGAGGCTACTCCTGGTCAGAGCAAGGGGGAGGGGAGTTCGGCAGCTTCAGTTTTGCTCCATCCCTCCTTGTGGGATCTGGGAGCTGGGGACACTCACCCTGGGTGGGCTGTGCTAATGCCCCCAGGATCCAGAGCAGGGACACGAGCTGGAGGCAGCGGCAACCGCTGGGCATGGTCAGCGCCGGCCCCAGGAGGGACGGACGAAGGACGGACACCTGTAGGACAGGACAAGACAGGGCTAGAAGGGATGTAGAGATGACGGGGATAGTGCTAGAATAGAATGGGGGTTGCGGGGACATAGAGATAAGGAGAAAGGGCGGGGGTGGGGGAGATTCAAGGTGACGAGATCAAAACCTGGATGACAGGAGGTAGGTGGTGAAGATAAGGGGGTGGTATAAGGGGAAATGGCAGTGTAGGGGTCAGGAGCGTGTACCCAGGCTGCAAGGGGGGGGGGTGTTTCTGGCAATATATAGAAGAGGAGGGGGCTGGGGAAAAGGGACCGAGAGGTGGAGGCAGCAAGGTCGGAAACAGGGGGCAATACCAAAGTCACATCAATCTTCGCGCCCCCTCCTCAACCTATGACTGAGCGTCCCCCCCTCTCCAAAGCGTGGGGCCACTTCCACCCCCAGCCTCTCAGAGCTGCCCCCACCACTCGCTCCGGCTTGGCAATGGCACAGGGCCAAGACACCCCCACACTACAACCCTCCCCCAAGACGCAACATTTCGATCCCCTCGCCGGCTCGGAAAGGAGTCTGGTGTCTCTGAGCCCCCTGCTTCCAATCGCTTCCCACCTGGTCTCTCCCAGCCCCCCACCTCCCGCGCGCTCTCTCTCCAGGGTCCTCCCTCACCTCGGGGGTGACGGCGCCGTGCGCCCAGGAGCCCAGCCAGAGAAGCGGAGTGCGGAGAGCCGGGCCGGGGGATCCAACGGGATCCAGGCCAGAGCCGGGGGCTGCGCAGGACGGCCCCCTATAGGGCCAAGGGGCCGGCCAGGAAAGCGGTATCCATGCTGAGCGCTCCGGGAATCTCCGGGTCCGGGCCAGACCAGGGAGCGGCGGCGGCAGCGGCAGCGGCTCGGTGCGCTCAGGCCGCTTGCCAGGGGCGGCGTGTGCCGGCAGAACCCGCCCTCCCCCGGGGCCGCCGCCCGCCTGCCGGCCCGCCCCCCCCCCCGCTGCGCTCACTGCCTCAGGCACCGTGCCCCCAATCCAGGCAACACATCAGCGCGCGCGCGCGCGCGCGCGCGCACACACACGCCCACATCTCTCACGCA